TGAGGCAGAATATGGCTCAGTGACAAGGAAATCCTAGTATTGAGGCAGAATATGACTCGGTGACAAGGAAATCCTAGTATTGAGGCAGAATATGACTCGGTGACGAGGAAATCCTAGTATTGAGGCAGAATATGACTCGGTGACAAGGAAATCCTAGTATTGAAGCAGAATATGACTCGGTGACGAGGAAATCCTAGTATTGAGGCAGAATATGACTCGGTGACGAGGAAATCCTAGTATTGAGGCAGAATATGGCTCGGTGACAAGGAAATCCTAGCATTGAAGCAGAATATGGCTCAGTGACGAGGAAATCCTAGTGCCGAGGCAGCATACAACTCAGTGACGAGGAAATCCTAGTTCTGATAATAAGCAGCAGCTACGGGTACTCTCAAACCCTAACCCACTAGATGACTAAAAATAGGAGCAAAACATTTGAAATGGTATTCCATGTATCCACCAGCTGAAGGAATGCTTGGTACAGCAGACTCCTCTAACTAGTTGTACAGATATATCAACAATCTTACAATGGTGTCAACAATGTCAAAACCAACTGAATATATCATATGTCGGTGGTTCATTGTAATACGTGACATTAGTATTCTTTGTTTTGAGATCATAGTTGTTCCTATATAACATTTTGACATCACAGACCATCTGGTAATTGTGTCATGGACTAAACAACACATAACAGTAATAAAATTACTTGCCTTACAGATAAATAGGCACATGTTTGACATATGATGGTACAACCATTTGATTTGTGCATGTTTTTTTTTGGGAATAGAAACAAGTCCACCTGCAAATAGCAATAATTTATATATGCCTCATATTACAGGAAAAATACTGATGTGACCTTTTCTTCTGGACAACTATCCAAATAAAAGAGGTTGTTATTTGTATTTATTTAAATAAAGCAACAACATTTAGGTATGTTTATGTTTGAAAAAATGTACTGAGCTCTTAAATAGTGAAAAAAACAACATGCATATGTTAAACCTAAATCCCCTCCTCTTTGAACAGCTAATGGTTGCTCCCTTTAAGACTCTGATTATATTTTTCTTTTGCCCCAGTAACAGTGAAACACGCTTTCTATCAGGAATTTCAGTACAGTAGTAGATAACAAAAACAACTTTGTACTAAACATATTTCATTTGATTCTTTAGCAAAAATCACGAAAGTACCACGACAAAATTGAATGTAATTGGATTATGGGGAACGTATTTCAACTGAGGCCATCACTTGCAGTTAGTACTCCGAAGATGGGAGTAACTGCAGAAGTGATATTTTACAGGAGCTTCATGGTGAAAGTGACTTTTGGAGGCCATCTGAACAACACTACTCTATGTGGCTGTGATTAAACTTGGTTACATGCTTTTCTAAACAATATTCCAGCAATATAAAGGCATGTCAGTTTAATGTCCGAGAAAGTCGCTGATGTAGGTCTACTATATTTACCGCTTTGGAGAAATCTAGAAACATATAATCTGTGTGAATTTACATGGCATACCCAATAGAATTACAGAATTGCCGTGCCATAGATGGCTTGGTCAGCTTAGAACCTGAGCATCTGGAAGGCTGGCCGTACACAAGCTGGATAATGCAGTAGCATTAAGAAAGCACTCGACCAAACCCCCAGTGAATGTCACCATCCTTCAAATCACAACAGCACAATGTCAACAGAGTTAGCTTTGCTCACGTATCACCAACATAGTCCATCACAACCAAAACATCGGTAATGTTATCAAGGAATAACAAGTTCAACACTGACTTGAGTGTGGCCTCACAACATGGGACTGTACATGTTTAACAGTATATATATATACATGGCACCTTCACATGTAACAGCAGGCTTAGTTCTCATGTAGAGGTTAGCAATACAACGTTATCATGCAGGGAAAACAGGCAGGCATAGGTGTCTGAGATCTGTGGTGAGGGGATGCTGCAAGGTTCTCTCCCTAGCATAGTACAGAAGCCAGGGGATTGGTCAATAGGGAGGGAGACACTGACAGAGATAGAGAGTGAGAAAGAGACTGTGACAGATACAGCACCAGAGAGAGAGAGAGAGAGAGAGAGAGAGAGAGAGAGAGGAGAGAGAGAGAGAGAGAGAGTATGAGTGAGATGGAACAAGAAGGAAAGAGAGAGACAGCAAGAGAGGTGGAACAAGAGAGAATGGGAGAGATATAGAGCATGAGAGATGGAGCAAGAGACAGCAAAAGACAAAGCATGAGAGATAGAGAAAGAGCAAGATAAAGAGAGAACAAGATAGAGAGAGAGAGAGAGAGAGAGAGAGAGTTAGGGAGTGAACATGAACAACTGACACCCCCACCACCAAGTATGATTCAGTCCGAAGACCATACTTATCCACTAATTTTCTCCTGCCATTAACAACCATTCCCTAAGGTCTGATTTCCATGTTGTCATCAATCAGAAGACAGGATGAATGCAGCTAGTTTTAACTGAACATAATAAAAACACTGTCTGCGTGAAAACAATTGTGTCCAAACACTGGATTCACTAGAAATCATGTGTTGAACAAATATACTTCTGTTCACCATTGTGCTCTAATAACTGATTGTGGCAAGTGTATTGTTATACGCGTCATCATCTGACTGCCAGTGTCTTGTCAGAGTTACCTCCCTTTTCCCGCCGAGCAAACATTCTCAAGAAATAGCTGTTGCATACATGTTTTGTTCAATGATCTCTCCTGAAATCACAGAGGGAGTGTTTACTACAATGCCCCATCAATATTTAAAAGAGTTCTGTCTGAATACAAGGGCATGAATAATGCAGCCGTACATGAATTCTGCATGAACTACACAAGCCAGCATTATCAGTTCAGTGTTAACTTGAACAGTTTGGTGTAAGCGAAAACAACATGCATCTAAATGTCCATACCAAAGATAACTAATGAAACATACATAAATATACTACTCAAAGAGGTTAAAGTACACTGACTGTGTTGTGGTGCAACAATACAGCAATACAGTATTGTATCACGATACGCGGCTCACAATACGATCAGTTGATTTACAACTCCTGTTTTGCAATACATACAATACATAGCTATACTGATGTAAAAAAACAAATACTAGAAACTGTTGAATAACTAGTTAACCCATTAGATACCAAATATTTTTTTTAAGTCAAAATACTTTTATCACAACATATTTGACTCACAATGAAAGTATCAAGAGTTAATTTTCTATAATTTTTTTCGCAAGTATGAATTTGAAGAGGAAATATTCGCATCCCATTTTTGGGATCCTGGTATCGAGAGGGGAGGGTTTTTTGAAGCACATGACAGAACAAGCAAAACACCATTATTAATTTTGTTTTTGTTCTATTTGTTGGATGGTTGCACTCTAACTCTTAGGAATGAAATGCCCCAAAACATGTTAAGTACCACAAAGTAGTATGTCATGTTGTGGCTTCCATTACCACTCCAGCGACAGTTTCTCAATTATTTCCTGTCTGCCTATAAACAGCAGAAGCTGCAGAGTGTCCCAAAGATTATCATATTTCTCCCCTACAATACCCCATCTTTGCTGTCTGAAGTTTGAAATTTAACAATTCAGGTTTGTGATTTACCTGTAGAAAGGGTGAAAAGATGAACTCAATATTTTATTAGGATATGTATCGTATCACTGGCTCCTCATATCGTTACACGTCAAATGACCACTGACTTATTTGTCATGGTCTTGATAGACAAACTGTAGTTGTACAAAACAGTGAAATTTAACCTTCATTTGAGTAGTATATGTAAATCTGTCATTACTTTCTGGGCTGACATAAAATGAAAACAGTGACCGGAAAACTCATGCATCCTCTCCTGTCTCCGTGTGGAATAAACAACTCAGATCTTTTTTACATCTTTAACATACATGGCCCCATTCACAAGATGATCTTAGCGCTAAGGTGATTAAAACACAACTGCTGTAGCGCTAAGACAGTTTTGTGGAAGAGGCCAGAACAATATCTGGTGAGACCAGTTGGTGCCACAGTAAGAGCAGAATAAAGTACATCTTATATTGCCAGTTGTCAATGTCAATAATTGAATAGTAAACTATACAACAAGAAATACGGTTTACACATGTTGAAACATTACAAAATGTACAGAGGTTCTTGAGAGTAGACAGCATCATGCACCCAGTGGGTGGCAGAGCCAGGGTGTGAACGCCACCCATGTACAATACTGCTCCATGACAGAGTCCTCAATATGTCAACTAGCACTTTTCTATGGTCTCTCTACCTTGTTTCAGTACTTGGAACAATGTTTCAGCACTAATAGCAATGTTTCAGTTCTCTTAACAATGTTTGACAACTCAGAACAATGTTTCAGTACTTGGAAAAATGTTCTAGTACTAAGAACAATGTTTCAGTACTCAGAACAATGTTTCAGTTCTCTCAGAACAATGTTTCAGTTCTCAGAACAATGTTTCAGTACTCAGAACAATGTTTCAGTTCTCAGAACAATGTTTCAGTTCTCAGAACAATGTTTCAGTACTCAGAACAATGTTTCAGTTCTCAGAACAATGTTTCAGTTCTCAGATTAATGTTCTAGTGTTCAGAACAATGTTTCATCTGTACATAACAGTTACATAGGGTATTCTCACCAGAATTACACAATTCAGGAATGGCGATAACAGCTTGCTTCTATATCCATATTTTGATTTGTTTCCACGTTCACTCACAGCTATTTGGTGATGAGCCAAGCTAAGAATTCTCTTTAACATGACTTGTCTCAAAATGCCTAAGCAGATTTGCAAATGTGCAGTGTGTTCATTGTTCTTCACGTCTATGTAAGGCCTTTAATTTTTGTATTAGTTAGTTTACAATATTTTGGCTAACAATGTATTGTACAATATCAAGATATTATTTGATTATTTTAAGATTACTAGTACAGCTACTACTATATAAAAAACATACTAAATGGTCGCACAGTCAGAAAAAAACAAAAACCATGAGACAGTTTATATTTTATATTGGTAGAATAAAGATTATTATATGTGTTACGTACCATTTCTTCCGAACATGATATAATAAAGTCTGTATTTTTTTCAATTTCACGCTATCATAAAAAAGTTGGTCCAAATATGATTTGTCAAAAATTATTCTATTTCAATTTCAATTTCAGATTTTTGTCAGCTGAAATCGTAAACCAACTAAAACAATACATAAGGCCTAATGTGTATTGTACTATTTGCAAATTGTACTCTTGAGGCAATGTATGGTATGAGTGGTGAGTGCTGTCCGTGGGCGTGTCCATCCAAGCTGGTGTCTGTAGGTGGTGCTGTACGCTGCCTGGCTATGACTCCAATAACACGTGCCATCGACACACTTGCTCTCCTTTACTCTCCCTCATGTCGGACCAGTGAGAACCCTCTTCTTCCCCGCTGCAGTTCATGCCTGAAACGAACAATTCTCTCTGGTACAGACATGCATTTTGTTTGTTTGTTTTTTTACGCTGCATTCAGCAATATTTCAGCAGCGGTCTGTAAGTAATTGAGTCTGGACCAGACAATCCATTGATCAACAGCATGAGCATCGACTGATGCAATTGGGAACCGATGACATGTGTCAACCAAGTCAGTGAGCCTGAGAACTCAATCCCATTCATTGCCTCTTATGACAAGATCGCGTTGAAGACCAATTCGAACCTGGATCTGCAGGGGTCGGTTCAGACATGCACTGAAATATGCACAATCTAGCCTTGCCATTTGAAGAATTTGTTTCAAATATTTAAGGCACATATTCCAGTGAACTGACAGATCCCAGCCCCAATAATGGTTGATGTCATGCAAATCCCTATCTGGCCTCATTGAGAATCATCTGACAATCTCTCAAGGAGTGAGTGAGTTTTTGGCAAATGCTGCTTTGATCAGTATTCTAGTATTACAATGTGCCAGCTTAATGTTTGAGGAGACCCCGAAGTGATCCAGGTCTCAGACGACCATGCCATATTTAGATAAACACCCGTCTCTGCCACCAAAATACTGTACATCACGAATTTTTTGCATCACGATATTTTTGCGAGTGGTGACCAACAGACAATTATGCGTCATGATATTTTTGTGACTTGCCCAATTCTCAAAAATAAATTACAACTGAAAGTTCTACCTAAAGTAAATCCAATCACATATTAAAGGTTGCTGCTATCCTTGAACTGAGCTCAGTAGAGTACTTGATTATATGAACTGTTTAATAATAAGGAGATAATGAGACACGTTATTTGTTGATTGTTTATTGCAATTGACCAGCAAATTGCGTCATGATATTTTTCACACTGTACTGGTGTCCAGTTTTTCAAAAAATATCATTTTGCTTTTTAAAATCAACAAAAATTTCCAGTATAGTGGATTATAACAGTATTTGGACAACACCTGACTCTCTCTTAGCACCATACCATATTTAGACAACATTTGTTGACTCCATTAGCATCCTACCCTACTTGGACAACACCTGACAGTCTGGCATAGCAGCATAATCCAGATACTGCTCCATCTCGAGATCTATCCCTGAATACAGGCATATTAAACTGAAGGGACATGTTACCTAATGAGAACCATCCAATCATTTCTTTCTTCTTCATGCTCTTCTTGTTGTAGACAGACACCATAAGTGTCACTTCTGGGAGCTGGAACAGAGCCACCTGGAACATGAACGTCTCCTTGAACAGTGGATTTGGCTGACCACGCCTCACCGAGGTCTTGCACCGCTGCAGCTCCTGCCCCGTCGGTGACATCAACGTCAACTTCACGTATGTGTCTGCAACAAAACCATTGGTCAATCAGGACATGGCAAATTTTAAAAGAACACTACTTCATAGATAAGTTCGAAGCAATGTTAAACCATTGTAAGCTTTGACCTCCTTTCTCTCTCCCTCTCTTTCAATCTCTCTCTCTTGATTTGAAGTCGTGTGGTGGCTGAGTGGGTTAGATCGTTGCCTTTGTGTGATGGCAATTAAGCACCGGACACTGAGACTGTGGGTTTGAATCCCTGATTGGATTCAACCTAATAAAAGTACTGTAATCTGTACTTTACTGAAAAAGTGTAATCCCAAATATAACTTTTGTTACATAATCAAACAAACCCACCTGGAGCCCTGTTCATGGCCATGTTGCGGAAGTTACTTCCCTTGATGACCTCCACGGAGAGCCGACCAGTCGTGCCATTGTACGCCAGCCCAATGAGCAGCTCGGGCATTCCGCCGTGTTGTAGAGACTGTGTGGAGGAAGCACTGTCGCTCCTCGACAAGCTGGACACATCAAAACCAGAGTCCCCATGCTGGAATACATCACATTGAAGGCATCAAACAACATCCTTCAGATTTCACGCACGATTCACAGCAAAATAACAAACAACAAAATTAATAGTTAACTATGCATAAAGATGTCTAAACATTACCTCTATCAGTAAGACCTTTACTGTATTAAAGTATACTCTGTGTAAAATTTATTAATGAATGTTTTAAACCAATAGATAAAGTTACTGAACTTGATACACTATTTAGTACAAAGCTTCTAGAAGTCGAAAAACAAGAAAGGAAAGCATTGTGGTATTATATATAATGCTAGCCTACTGGAGTGCTATGGAATTGTGACTTGAAGTCGATTCAGCAGAAAACATAGTCAGATGGTAAGAGTTCTACATGCCAATCAGTGAATCAAATAAGGATCATTAATCCGGCATCATCTGCACAGTTTGAATAAGTTGTACAGAACACATTCTCCCAGTCAACAGAACTGCATACAACTGGGTGTATGGTTAGGAAAGTTGAACATGATATTATATAAGCAAAGTTTGACTACCAAAGACTTGAGAGGCTGTAAGCTGTGGGTTGAGATGCCTGAAGCAAGAGTAGACTGATCAATGAATGGTTTTCTGCATGTTTGAGGCGTGTATGTTGCCTGGCAACAAAGGGAAGCCACATGCAGGTGAGAAGGGTGCTGTGACGATGTAATACACCTCCTAGATACATACATGAGAGTCTGCACAAGATTTCAAGAACATGGGGAAGGTTGAACAAAATGAGTGCTCTATTACGCTTCAGTTCTATTTTATTTAAATTTTAAAATAAAAGAATGATAAAAGTGAACATTATTCATGGATTGATTAAAATAGGGGTGGGGTCATGTATATGTGTGTGAGTGTGAATGATTGTGATGGGAGGAGAAGCCTGTGCCATAAAATACATTTGGGGGTGGGGTTGTCAATAACACATGATACAGATCTAAGTCCTAGAGATCAAGTTCTTCTGTTTATTTCTTTTAGCATTTCCGTTTTTCACTTTCACAGCTGCTCTCCAATTTCAGCATAGTTACCTTATTTGAGTTCGATGATTAGATGCCTGTTCAAACAGTAAATGACAGGAAGACCAGAATCATGAAAACTGATCCGGTACTGAACTTCATATTCATGCACATTTCATATTGATAATTTTCCAAAAGTTCCCTCATGAAAAACTGGAACACTTGAATTTGTTTTGTGACTGTCATGAAATATCATCTGTTTAAAAACAATGATGACATTTACGTGACATTTGTTTCCAAGCTGATCAATATGTTTGTTTTAATTCTGATCTGAATTTTTTGACACATGAATTATTAATACTATTCAAAAGAAGTTAGGAATGCTGGAGCTTGGATTTAGCCATCTCTCATGCATGCAGTGGAGGCTGTTTGAACGTGAGGACTTTGCAAATTAACCTGTCAATAAGCCTAGCATTCCGAAATCGCCAAGTCAGCCCTGAAATTGTGTAGGCCATGAGAACATACTGATGTGCAACACTATATACCCTTTGTAGTTTTAGAACTGTAGTTAGGAACTCATACTCAGGAGCGGCAGTGCTGGACTGAATGAAACATGACATATCATCTTACCTTTCACATGAATGGCACATTCTGATTGGCTGATACCCAATATATTTTGAAAACGGTATAAGTATCTAAACCGAAACGTCGCTTTTGTACAATAAAAAAGCTATCATCCATAAAGACTTGTTATTCCTGTCATTCCCAATATATTTTGTTCCATGTACTCTGTTAATGTGTAAAGTACATTTCTAATGACTTAATCCTCCACTGCCGGAACTGCTGTTGTTACATTCAAACTAACCAACCACGATACTGAATCTCAAATTAATGTAAGCAAACCATTTTCCAGATATGACATTTTAATTTCTAAATAAAATAAATCTAGGGGGATTAACTCTTAAGTTTGTTTTCTGTGTAACATGTTTTATTAGCGATTACACTCCCTCAGGAAAATCCAGATTCCAGTACCTATAGGACTGGAGCGATTAGGTGCCCCACTCTGAGGGAGTGGCTTCATATTCTGTGTGATATTCAATCCAGAATACCAGAATCCAGAATCTGTACTTCAATGAAACTATGTAATCCTTAAAATAACCATGTTGCATTTGACCACTTTCTAAAGGACACTGTGTAATCACTGTTTTCCATGCTCTGCTTTAAAATCCTCACAGGCATTGTAGTAGTTTCAAATTCAGACTAAAGTGTGCATGCATAAGACAAACCTGCAGTATATTTAGGAGTGCGGTAGGATAAACTGGTTGTCCATTGGTCCCTTGGGTAACATGAGGTGATATTCCCCCTATGCTAGTTTGTGTTTTATGGGAACATAAACTGACCGAGGATGCCAGGAACATAAACTATCATGGTGGGCTGATCAATATATGTCCCTCGAGACCAGTGGACACCTTATATTGACATTGATGTCAAGCTGTGCCAGTATTGTGACTGTTTCATGGTGCCAGTATTGTGACTGTTTCATGGTGCCAGTATAGGGACTGTTTCATGGTGCCAGTATTGTGACTGTTTCATGGTGCCAGTACAGTGACTGTTTCATGGTGCCAGTATAGTGGCCACTGTTTCATGGTGCCAGTATTGTGACTGTTTGATGGTGCCAGTATAGAGACTGTTTCATGGTACCAGTATAAGGAATTTTTGATGGTGCCAGTATAGAGATTGTTTCATGGTGCCAGTATAGTGGCCATTTCATGGTGCCAGTATAGTGACTGTTTCATGGTGCCAGTATAGTGACTGTTTGATGGTGCCAGTATAGTGACTGTTTCATGGTGCCAGTATAGGGACTGTTTCATGGTGCCAGTATAGTGACTGTTTGATGGTGCCAGTATAGGGACTGTTTGATGGTGCCAGTATAGTGACTGTTTCATGGTGCCAGTATAGTGACTGTTTGATGGTGCCAGTATAGTGACTGTTTCATGGTGCCAGTATAGTGACTGTTTCATGGTGCCAGTATAGTGACTGTTTCATGGTGCCAGTATAGGACTGCCATGGTGCCAGTATAGTGACTGTTTGATGGTGCCAGTATAGTGACTGTTTGATGGTGCCAGTATAGTGACTGTTTCATGGTGCCAGTATAGGGACTGTTTCATGGTGCCAGTATAGTGACTGTTTGATGGTGCCAGTATAGTGACTGTTTCATGGTGCCAGTATAGTGTAGTGGCCATTTCATGGTGCCAGTATAGTGACTGTTTGATGGTGCCAGTATAGGGACTGTTTGATGGTGCCAGTATAGAGACTGTTTGATGGTGCCAGTATAAGGACTGTTTGATGGTGCCAGTATAGAGATTGTTTCATGGTGCCAGTATAGTGGCCATTTCATGGTGCCAGTATAGTGACTGTTTCATGGTGCCAGTATAGTGACTGTTTCATGGTGCCAGTATTGTGACTGTTTCATGGTGCCAGCATAGGGACTGTTTCATGGTGCCAGCATAGGGACTGTTCATGGTGCCAGTACAGTGACTGTTTCCGCGGTGCCAGTATAGTGGCCATTTCATGGTGCCAGTATAGTGACTGTATTGTGACTGTTTCATGGTGCCAGTATAGTGACTGTTTCATGGTGCCAGTATAGTGACTGTTTCATGGTGCCAGCATAGGGACTGTTTCATGGTGCCAGTATAGTGACTGTTTCATGGTGCCAGTATTGTGACTGTTTCATGGTGCCAGTATTGTGACTGTTTCATGGTGCCAGTATTGTGACTGTTTCATGGTGCCAGTACAGTGACTGTTTCATGGTGCCAGTATAGTGACTGTTTCATGGTGCCAGTATAGTGACTGTTTCATGGTGCCAGTATAGTGACTGTTTCATGGTGCCAGTATAGTGACTGTTTCATGGTGCCAGTATAGTGACTGTTTCATGGTGCCAGCATAGGGACTGTTTCATGGTGCCAGTACAGTGACTGTTTCATGGTGCCAGTATAGTGACTGTTTCATGGTGCCAGTATAGTGACTGTTTCATGGTGCCAGCATAGGGACTGTTTCATGGTGCCAGTACAGTGACTGTTTCACGGTGGCAGTATAGTGGCCGTTTCATGGTGGCATATAGGGACTGTTTCATGGTGCCAGTATAGGGACTGTTTCATGGTGGCAGTATAGTGGCCATTTCATGGTGCCAGTATAGTGACTGTTTCATGGTGCCAGTATAGAGATTGTTTCATGGTGCCAGTATTGTGACTGTTTCATGGTGCCAGCATAGGGACTGTTTCATGGTGCCAGCATAGGGACTGTTTCATGGTGCCAGTATAGTGACTGTTTCATGGTGCCAGTATTGTGACTGTTTCATGGTGCCAGTATTGTGACTGTTTCATGGTGCCAGTATAGGGACTGTTTCACGGTGGCAGTGTAGTGGCCATTTCATGGTGCCAGTATTGGGACTGTTTCATGGTGCCAGCATAGAGATTGTTTCATGGTGCCAGTATTGTGACTGTTTCATGGTGCCAGCATAGGGACTGTTTCATGGTGCCAGTATGTTTCCAGTGACTGTTTCACGGTGGCAGTATAGTGGCCGTTTCATGGTGGCATATAGGGACTGTTTCATGGTGCCAGTATAGAGATTGTTTCATGGTGCCAGTATAGTGGCCATTTCATGGTGCCAGTATAGTGACTGTTTCATGGTGCCAGTATAGAGATTGTTTCATGGTGCCAGTATAGTGACTGTTTCATGGTGCCAGCATAGGGACTGTTTCATGGTGCCAGTACAGTGACTATTTCACGGTGGCAGTATAGTGGCCGTTTCATGGTGGCATATAGGGACTGTTTCATGGTGCCAGTATAGGGACTGTTTCATGGTGGCAGTATAGTGGCCATTTCATGGTGCCAGTATAGTGACTGTTTCATGGTGCCAGTATAGAGATTGTTTCATGGTGCCAGTATTGTGACTGTTTCATGGTGCCAGCATAGGGACTGTTTCATGGTGCCAGTACAGTGACTGTTTCACGGTGGCAGTATAGTGGCCGTTTCATGGTGGCATATAGGGACTGTTTCATGGTACCAGTATAAGGACTGTTTCATGGTGCCAGTATAGAGACTGTTTCATGGTGCCAGTACAGGGACAAGCGGAGTTGGTGCACAGGATGTTGTAGGGAGATGCTAAGACTCTAGATGGTACACATCTATTGTATCTTTAACTATAGTGTTGGAATGGATACATACAAAACCTCCCTTGCCCTGAAACACCACATTCAGTTTACATCAGTTGACAAACAGCAAGCATACAAATCATGGAATGGTCGGAAAGGTTATGCCAGAGGTCAAGAACAGTTAAAGCATTTCTGAGACTTCACGAACATACAGGTATTTCACAAGTCTTCCTCTAAAGGACAAAGAATAGTTACTGTTTATTTTTGGTTGCCACATTCAGCAGTATTCCAGCTATATGACAGCAGTAGGTAAATAACTGAGCCAGAATCTAGAGACTGACATCATGAGCATCGATCTACTCATCAGAACCAATGACATGCATCAACCAGGTCAGCGAGCCTGACCACCCGATCCCATTGGTCACCTCTTACAACAAACATGCTATGCTGAAGACCAGTTCTAACCCAGATCCGACACATAAGCAAGTGTACCTCAGGGTAATAATGGTATGCAATTATTGACACTATTTACAATTAGGCAATTAGTTTTACCTTCTTTTTCTTAATTACCAGACTATTTTTGCCAAAGTCAGAAGTCGAAAGACAAGAGTATTTTGATACTGGAGTCTTTGAAGACCAAACCTGACTTGTATGCAGTAAAACTGTTGCACACTGTTATATTTCTCTTGATCCAACGACCTTTCATGCTCTCTGTACACACTATACCTTACACTACGGTTTAGTGTAGCTGCCGTTAGTTTGAAAAAATATGCTTACTGGATCTTCCAACCCTAGACACTCATCATGGTGACCATGTTGCACAAGTGGGTGTCCACTCTAGCTTGAGTAACATTTTACATTGCTTTCAGCAATATTCCAGCCATATCAGGGTGGGGAAACCAAAAATGGGCTTTCACATTGTACCCATGTAGGGAATTGAACCTGGGTCCTCGGCATGCTGAGCGAACGCTCTAGCCACTTGGCTACCCACCACCCCACACTGACTTGAATACAGATTACTCCATGAATCATGTGTGTTCTGGAAGCTCTACATCCAACTTCAACAAAAAGTTATCCTCTTCCAGAGAGATGGAATCAATGCTGGAGAACTCTCAGTGACATCACCGTATCAATTATACAGTAGCATATCTTAATATCATTACAATGGCATCATGCAAGCTATTCATATAAAGACCGTCACATATTGCTTAATTGATTAAATTGCCTCCCTAATACAATTGTGCAGTGTTTCATGAAGACACTTTCCGCACCAGAAACATGTGACTAATGCTAAGTTTATTAGGCCAGACCAATTTTATTTCTTGTTTTACGAATCTGACGGTCCTATTTTTTCAAGAGTAAGAAAAAATTTAAAAAAAAATTCCCAACTCAAAAAATAAAATCCTAATGTTTGTATTGGCCAAAAATGTAAACTTACAAGAAAATGTTGTTTAGATTGTTTTTGCCCCACATACACTTCATAAATTGCCAAAAGTAAAATAATTTTAGCATTTAGAAGGAATATTACTTTGACAGGCTATTTAAAGAAAAGAAAATACCTCCTGCCTTTAGGTTTTCTGAGGACAAAAATCCATAAAACAAGAAATAAAATTGGTCTGGCCTTAAGAAGTAATAAAATGTCAGATCTTGGGACACCACTGGACTTGAAGGGCTTTTGAGTAAACAAGCTAGTACAACCCTGTTTTCAGCAATATCTGATCTTGTTCTTCCTTGTAACTAAACTTGAAATCTTGAAATATCCGACACTGCTTGGCCAGGTAGATGGTACATGAAGAAAGGTTCTGGGATTCTAAGTGGATTACAATTGGGAAGCAAACAGGAGGAAGGATAAACAACCAAGCTTCTTTGTAAAAGCTCTGCCAAACTCATTGCTGTAAGGATAATAGCTTTATCAATAATGAATAGGACCATTAGCTATCTTGTATAGATCCAGGAATACCTAATACAAGGCTTTCAATCTGTTCAGGGTTTAAATGTGACAGTGCCGTTAGCTTTGAACCCATCACCTCTATAGATGTAGAACTGTTTAGCATGGCAATCTTAGTGTTAAGGCAATCAAACCTGAAATATTTAAACATAGATTTATCACAATCATAGTGTTGAGACTGTATTGGGAGACGTCCTTCCTGGAGCAGGTATATGTTGCTTTCTTTGTTTAATGCCACATTCAACAATATCCCAGTTAAATGACAGCACTGTAAATAATTGAGTCTGGTTCAGACAATCTGGTGACAGACATCACAGCATTGTGATACAATGATATGCATCAACCAAGTCAGCAAGCCTGACTACCCAATCTCGCTAGTCACCTTTTCCGACAAGTGGGTTGGTGAAGATCAATTGTAACCTAGCATATGGTAGTTAATGGAACTTACACTGAGGTTGCTCCTGGGCTCCAGCACCATCCAGTGAGTGGTCTCCTCATCCAGGTTCAGAGATGCAAAGCCCACGATGCTTTCTCCAATCATCCGCTCACGTCGCATAAGTTCCAGTCCGTACAGTCTCACTCGGATGCCCATTCCATGGACATCATCTGGAGTGACAAGGACACATACTGTATACCACTGTCCATACCCCATGTATAAGGTTGCCTCACAGTATAAACCTTTAAAAATGATGCTATATACGCCCATCTATTTATTGATCAGTGGGTACGTAAGTTTAAAATAGTCAAACTAAATTTAACTTTGCTAGTTTTTAATCGTAGGATATTTGTGTTTTTAAGTGATGGCTAAATTTGAGCACAATTGCCAACATCTGAAGGGACGATACAAAACCAGCTAGGGTCCATGTAGGAAGCAAAAGTACTGTAAGTCCCCATGGTCCCAAGTATGGTGATCTATCTTCAGTTGCTGGTGATCTATAGCCTGTTTTCATATTGTGTATTGTGCATATAGTGCTATTATTTTAATATCAAATGCTAGTTACAAATCTAACTGTGATAATCTAATTGACGACATTTGTTCTTTATCAATGTCATAGCAGTTCTCGTCACGATATGGCTAAAATATTGCCAATGTGACATTAAATATTAAATCACACACTCACTCACACTTCATTGATCCTTAACAAAGCATACTGCCAGCACATACACGATCCCTCATTTTCAATAAAAGTATGCTTGTATTTTGTTGATTTTTGTATTTTATGATGCTATGTTGCATATTTTGTTTGATATTTAATGCTGCACTCAGCAATATTTCAACTATATGGCCTGTCTGTAAATATTCAAGCCTGGACCAGACAATCCAGTGATGAACAGAATGAGCATTGATCTACGCAATTGGGATATGATGACATGTGTCAACAACTCGAACCGTTAGTCACCTTTTATGAGTGAGTGAGTGAGTTTAGTTTAGTTTTACACTGCTTTTAGCAATATTCCAGCAATTTCATGATGGCGGGGTACACCAGAAATGGGCTTCACACATTGTAGCCATATGGGGATTGAACCCAGGTCTTCGGTGTGACAAGCGAACGCTTTAACCACTAGGCTACCCCACCTCCCCTTTTTTGCACAGAACAGTAGATTGCGCCCTACTGAACATTATTCACAACAGGTCTGCAGGTTGTACTGACATTGAATAATACTCCACAGAAAACTGTAAACATTTACCTGGAAAGATTTTGCTGAATGAGAAGTTTTCATCAAAGGTGGGATTTTCTCCTGTTTTCACTTTGGTCTTGAACTTCTGTTTCTTGGTAGGTAGTAGCATCATGCGAACTTGGACATTGCTAGCACCACCGCGGTCCTTGGCTGGGATCTCACGGGCCTGGTGGATGGTCACGCTCATCTTACCACGCTTGGCTTCATACTTGAAGCTGACCTCCAGACTTCCACATTTGGAGATCAGGGGGGGATCCCCTTGCAGGTCACTGACATCAAACAGGTGTTCCTGGGGAAGGAAGACAAAAAGCTTATGGTAAAGTGAGGTATGATCAAACAGGTGTTCCTGGGGAAGGAAGACAAAAAGCTTATGGTAAAGTGAGGTATGATCAAACAGGTGTTCCTGGGGAAGGAAGACAAAAGCTTATGGTAAAGTGAGGTATGATCAAACAGGTGTTCCTGGGGAAGGAAGACAAAAAGCTTATGGTAAAGTGAGGTATGATCAAACAGGTGTTCCTGGGGAAGGAAGACAAAAAGCTTATGGTAAAGTGAGGTATGATCAAACAGGTGTTCCTGGGGAAGGAAGACAATAAACTTATGGTAAAGTGAGGTATGATCATATAATCTAGAGAACAAGTATTGGCTCATAACTGGGGTCATCACAAGCTGAAAGTGGTTCATATACCGATGCTTATGATAGAGCTGGAATCATAACAGAGTCTTGGGACGGTGGGTTAGCCTAATGGTTGAAGCATTTGCTTGTCACAGTGAAGACCCAGGTTTAATTCTCCACCAGGGTACAATGGGTGAAACCCCTTTCTGGTGATACTGTTGGAATATTGCTAAAAGTGGCATAAAACCAAACTTACTCTCACCAACAGACCCAGACCAACAGATTTCTTATGAGTATGGAAATAGGTTTGTTTCTTTGATTAGCATTATTACCAGTGTTCTAGATACGTTTTTAACCTCAGGAAAAAAGCTGAAGAGCAATATAGGAGTAGAATTCCGGCTTTGTTGGAGTACAGCATTGCCATGCCTCAAAATTAATTGTATTATCCTTGGTCTGCCAGCACAAACATGGGTATTAATATCTTTATATTTGATACTCCCATACATGATATGCTAGTTATTTTACATTCAATCATATCTGCATATTTTTAGCCGTACATACATTGATACACCCTTATCTTGAACACATAGAATAGAATAGAATAGAATAGAATAGAATAGAATAGAATAGAATAGAATAGAATAGAATAGAATAGAATAGAATAGAATAGAATAGTACTTTAATGCCTTTTCAGGAATTTGTGTTACATCAGCAGAGCAACTGACACATTAGAGAGATACCAAACATATTTACATAAATTCTTTGATTTAGGTATCTTCACATTTGTTTAAGAGAGATATGGTACTTGGAATAAAGGATGTACGGGCTCTCTTAGTTTTCACAATTGGAACTTTGTAGCGGCGGCCTGAAGGGAGGAGGTTGTATTCCGAATTTATGTAGTGAGTACGGTCAGATATGATTTTGACAGCACAGCAGACATGATTTCATACAGCACAGCAAGCATATATGGAAGATGATTGCCATTGTTACCTGCAACATGACATCTGCCAAACAGTTTCTAACACAGCTGTTCACTCAGCAACAGGGTTTGGAAATCATATTTCATGTTGGTTGGTTTTGTTATTTTATAACGCCGCACTCAGCAATATTCCAGCTATATAGCGGCGGTTTGTAAAAATCGAGTCTGGACCAAACAATCCAGTGATCAACAGCATGATCATCTATCTACACGATCAGGAAACAATGACATGTCAACCAAGACAGCAAGCCTGACTACCCAATCCATCTAGTCAACTCTTATGACAGGCATCTTTCTGAAGATCAATTTTAACCCAGATCTTCAAGGGTCGATATCTCATATGAACAACAGTAACTTCTGTGGATGGATAGAATGCAATAAGACATGGAGACACCAACAGACGTCTATAGCTATGTCCAGGGGTCCATTGGAGACATATAGGAACAAAAAAGAACTTTCAATTTGAACATATCAGAGTGTTACTTGCTATTCTAACAGACCAACAGTACAGTCCCTTACCTTGAAAAAATGGCTGACATTTTTGGAGAAAACTATCATCTAAGAACATTTATTGTATATTTCAAGGTGCGTGATCTAATTCCACATGTACACTTTTTCTCTTTCGATAGTTCTCCTGTCTGCTTCAAAGATGGTGCCAATGAATTTTTTAATGAAAGCTGACCAACAGAAAAAAAATAAAATTCCCATATCTGTAAAAAGATTACAATGAACCCAAAATTGAATAAAGAACAAATATTATCTGAATTCTTTCAAAGTTGCATTTTCTGAAGCTGCATTTCAGAATTCATCAACCAAGAATTGAATAAGAGCTGGTCAAAGGAAGGATTGCATATTCTTTTGCATTCTGTAAAACTGGAGACAAACACTTGGGGAGCTAACAATATGGTACACTGAAACCATTCAGCTAACTATATCTTTCAGAACTGTGACAAAATAACTTGAAAAACACTGCAAAACAAAGCCATGAGAATGTGAATAATTAGAACATGTTGCACTTTAGCCAAGCCTGACTTCAATGAACTGCTCATTTTCTCAGTTGATCAAAATGTTTCTGGTGATGAATGAGTGAGTGAGTTTAGTTTTATTCTGCTCTCAGCAGTATTCCAGTTATATGGCGGCGATCTGTAATTAATAGTCTGGACCAGACAATCCACTGATCAACAGCATGAGCATCGATCTGCACAATTGGGAACCGATGACATGTGTCAACCAAGTCAGCGAGTCTGACCACCCAATCCCGTTAGTCGCCTCTTATGACAAGCATGGATTACTGAAGGCCAATTCTAACCCAGACCTTCACGGGTGTTCTGGTGATGAAACGCAGATGGTGATGGGGTGAGACCAAAAAGTATACATTTGGATGGAAATCTGATGAGCCATAGGGACCCAACTTCATTGGGGTGATTAAAATATAAGGTCAGATCGGCCTGGGTTGTGTATTGCATCAGGGTGTCGGAACACCTCAGGGGATGGTTAATACACACTGACTAGTATATTAAATTGTGTTTTGTTTGCCATTTTCTAAGTAGTAACCAGGCCTGTTAGGGAGACTCTGTCTTGATACACAAATCTGTGGACAACTAGTATATTAAATTGTGTATTTGTACAGGTCAATTGTTTGTTTGTTTTTCTGAGAAGTTTGACAAAGCGGACACACTTTATGAACAACAACATTTTAGTTTGACTGAAATAGCCATGTTTCTGTACAGATCCTTATCCTTTGTCTAGCATCATTTTCTGCTTATTGCACATAATTCAAGCACCAAAGACAAGGCAGACATATCCCACAGCAAAAACAATCCCTGGACCACCTGCCCATATTGTTGTGTAATGCTGAGGTAATTAGAGGGGATTCCCCAGTCTGAGAGGATCAGGAAACAGTGGCAGTGTGTTCAGGCTTCTCTTTGAGTCCCTTGGTGCTGCTGCCCATTCTCTACACCAGCTCAAACCTCCCATTCTGTCCGCAATACTGTACAGCTGAGCCACCCTGCACCAACTGCCTCTTGCCCAACCATTGCAGCAAGTAACCACCCTACCTACAATCTGCATCTCCCACCGCCACTTAACATACAGCTTCCACACGCCCTACAACCTCAACTCCACCTACAAACTCCTCACAACCTCCATCCTCACCTACAATCTCTACATAACCTCCAACCTCAATTGCAACCTCCAAACCTCAACCCCACACAGTCTCAAACTTCAACCCCACCTACAACCTCCACACAACCCTTAGACAACCAACAACCCCACTCACAACCTCCACCTTCCATCCCAACCTACAACCTCCACACAACCTATAACACACATCTCCACTTACAACCTCAGCACCACCTACAACATCATCCTTCAGCCTCCATCCCAATCTAGAACCTCAATCTCCACCTAGAAGCCAAACACAACCTTCAACCTTCATCGCAATCTAAATCCTCCTCACAACCTACAAAAGCTACAACCTCCACATAACCTGCCCTTCCAATGGTCAATGGACACCTTGGCACTCCCCCCGCCGCCAGGCTGCAGCCCATAACCCCCAGCATCAACTGATAGTCATCTGAACAACATGCTAACACATTACATTTTATGTCTGTAGAATGGTACACCAGGATCTCTTCAAAGTAACCACCACTTGGATCAATTGTACCACAAATTCAATTTGCACAATCAATAGACAAAGATAATTGTAGGGGAGTATTTGATCCAGAAATTACTGGGCAGCTGATCAATAAGTGCTTCCCCCTCATCAGCAATGAACACTTTCTCTCTCTCACACTCTCTCTATCTCAAGTGTTACATGCCCAGTACAATTAACAGCTGTGACTTCAGAAAACACTTTTGACTCCAGTTGAAGACTTGTTTGCAACTGTGTGATCTTGTAGTACCAACAATGTGTAGGAGTCAAATGTTCAGTTACAAGGAAACAATTTGCCTCACCTGGCAATATTTCAGCTGCATGATGGCATGATGTAAGTATCAAGTCTGGACCAGACAATCCAGTGATTGCACTACTCTACTGCAACTGGGATATGATGACATGGATCTACCAAGTCAGCAAGCCTGACCACTCGATCCTCTTTATCCTGCTAGCAATCGGACAATTGTGACTATGGAAAAGCATCAAATTCCAATCTCTGTTGTCCACAATACGTCTGAGCTAAATGGTCTGTGACATATATTTGAATATTGTTGTTGCCACAAATCTGCATTTCATCAACCAACTGTACATATGATTATATCAATGTCTGTTGACGAGGATTTCAGGCAAGAATACCTTTTCATTAATAATAATAATGTGTCCATTTATATAGCACCAAACTCCACACTAGGTATGCTCATAGCGCTATTACAGTTCTCATTTACAGTAATGTTGTCATCAAATCAGCCATTTCAATCAGAGGTGGATATTCTGATTTGATACCTCCTTCTGACCAATCAGAATATCATTCAATCAATTCAATGGCAAATCTATCAGAGTGTCCTGTGTCATGAAAGAATAATGCCAAACATGTGATCTAATTTCACTGATCAAAATCAGGAATAATAATAATGCCTACATTTCAACGATGAAGCCTGAGAGGGGTTGTTTCAAGATTTAGTGCAAAGCTGAAAAGATAAATTAACAGAGTTATGTATTCTTGCTGCTGACGTACTGGGGCATTTTCATGACTTGAACCCG